CACTACAAAAACGCAGACCAGAGAAGCCTTCACACATTATTCAGGAGAAGGAAGGAAGTGACGTACAATGGCAACAAAACACCACAAATAAGTCATTTGAGAAAAAAACAAACAAACATATGCAAAGCAAGAAAAACCAATCTCAGACAGATAGAACAACGGAAAAATATAATTATGAGAGTTTTCCATCACAATCTGAAGACAAAGACAGTCAAAAAGATAAAGAATTACTTGAAAGATTTGAATTGAAGAAATTTCTAATTATAATTAATAGAATATTTACATCAGAAGGGACATTTGAAGAAAAGATATTGTTGTTGTTTAAAAACATATTTGAAGAGCTAAAGAAATTTGTATTCAATCTTTTGCTAAAAGGAAACTGGTTAGATAACATTATTGAATTTATAAATGCATAATACAAACAAAAATATAGGCATCAACATTATCCAATGGAACTCGCAATCTCTGCGGCCCAAAATGATTTCATTTACAGAACTATTAAATAAAGAAAAAATTCATATAGCGATCCTAAGCGAAACGTGGCTAGACAGTGAAATTGACTTAAACGTAAGTGGCTATAACATCTATCGAAAAGACAGATATGATTCTTACGGCGGTGTTGCTATTTTCATTCATAAATCCATCCGGTCACATTCAAATTTTTTTCAGGTTTCGAATTCAGGTATAGAAGTGATAAGTGCTAAGTTGATCAATTGTAAAGATTTAGAATATATCGTTGCAGTTTATTGTCCATCTTCAGTTGTAACACAACCTTCGGACTGGGAACAAATTTTCTCTCTTTTCCCAAATAAAACTTTAATAGCCGGTGACTTCAATGGTCATCACTCTAACTGGTCTATCAAAACAGATATCAGAGGCACTCAAATACTGGATTCGTCACTTGAAAATTCCTTCGTTTCACTTAATAGCTGCTCACCAACCAGAATTAAACTAGTTAATGGTACATTGCAAAAAACGTCACCGGATATATCATTTGCTACTTCTGATATCGCAATCAAATTCGGTTGGAAAGTACTCAATGAAAACCTAGGTAGTGATCACCTGATAATTAAAATGACAATCACAATACCGGATGATTTCCCGATACATAGGAAAAGGAATTACAAAAAGGCAGATTGGAAGGAATATAGAGAATTTCTATCTAAAACTTTTAGTGTGCAGTATGATGACATCAATATCCAAGGTACATACGACTTTTTTATACATCAAATAAATCTGGCAGCTGATAAATATATTCCATTCAATAAATATAGTTCTAAACCCACAAAAGAATTCAAACCAAAAGATTACTGGACACCTGAATTGTCCCACCTTGTTGCACAACGAAGGTTATGTCTAGCCAAGTTCCGCCGTAATCCAACCCCTGATAACTTGTCCAAATTGGAAGCTAAAATTAAAGAATTTCATATTGCAAGTCAGAAAGCGAAATCATTGGGTTGGCAGAGATTTTGTGATTCTGTTGACCATACAGTATCTGTTTATGATATGTGGCGGCGTATGCGGTGGATGAAGGGTTATAAACAATCTGCCATCTATCCTCCTATCGATAAACAAAACGAGCTACTAAAATCACTGACTCCTGACTATGTAACAAACAAAAGACCTATATTTGTATCTAGAAATGAAACTTTAGAGTGTGATTTTGATATCCAGGAATTAAAAACTAGTTTGAAAAAAAAAGATTCGGCACCTGGTGAGGACGGTATTTCCTATTCCATGATTTATAATCTTCCCAACCCAGCAAAAGCTTATTTACTACATATATATAATAAAATATTTACTTCAGGCGTTGTACCTATTCAGTGGCGTAACATACAGATAATTCCTATTCCTAAAGCAAAAAATACAACATCTGACCCTAAATTAAGACCCATATCCCTTATTTCATGTTTATGCAAAATATTCCATTTAATGTTAGTAAAACGTCTAGAATGGTACATTGAGAGAAGAAATATTTTATCACCACTCAATATTGGATTTAGAAAATCATTGTCTTGTTTAGATTCTTTAAGTCGCCTAATTACATATATACAGAATGGCTTTTCTAAAAATTTACCTACGATAGCTTGTTTCCTGGATATTCAAAATGCATATAATAATGTATCAGTTGATGTAGTAGGCAAAGTTTTAGATGAACTTCAAGTTGGATCAAAATTTTGTAATTATATATGGTCTTTTTTGAATGAGAGACATTTAAAACTTAAAACAGAATTCAGTGATTTAATAACAGATCGATGGAGTAATAAAGGTTTAGCGCAAGGAGACCCTTTATCCCCGCTACTATTTAATTTAATTACATACAAAATATGTCAATCACGTTTTAATCCTGTAGTAATATCACAATATGCTGATGATTTCGTAATATATGTTAAAGATAAGGATATCATGAAATGCGCAATGAATATTCAAAACACATTAGATCATATTGTCGTGTCATTAGCCGAACTTGGTCTTGAACTATCTACCAATAAGACTACATATTGTGTATTTAGCAGGGGTAAACGTAGAATACTACCTTGTCTTAAAATAAATGAAGAGTCTATACCATTTTCATCATGCACTAAATATCTTGGTATGTGGTTAGACCAAAGTTTACGCTGGAGTAAACACATAAATGAAACAATCGCGAAATGCTCAAAATTTCTGAATATATTAAAGCTATTAACTGGGAGCTCTTGGGGTATACATATTAAACATATACGTAAATTATACATCTCATTAATTAGAAGCCGACTAGATTATGGTTCGTTTCTATATGACTGCAGTGCCAATGCACATTTATCGAAACTTGACAAACTGCAAAATCAGGCCTTACGAACCATAGGAGGTTATATTAAAAGCTCCCCTATTCACGTAATGGAATCAGATTTATGTATCCCACCTTTATTTTTGAGAAGAAAATATTTAGCATACAAATTTTGTCTAAAAAGCCGATCGTGGTCAAATAATGTCACAATTGATCTTGTATCCAATCTGAGTAATTTATGTCGTACTTCTTATTGGCAAAATAAAAAAATACCATTGCTTGTTGAAGTGTATAATGACGTCAGACATTTGGAAATTACAGCATCAGAATATTTAAAAATGTTTAGTCTAGAAATTTGGACATCCATTAATACAAAAAATATTAAAATTAAACTCAAAAGTTTAAGCACCGCTAAACGTAATTACAACCAAAATATGTTGCTGAATGAGATTATAGCAGAACTGAATACGTTATATTTCGGATGGCATAAAATTTACACTGACGCATCTAAAAGCCCCCAGGGACAAGGAGCGGGGTTATTTGACCAGAGCTTAGGCAACAGATTTGGATATAAAATTAAATGTGATGTATCCATTATGTCGCTGGAACTCATAGCAATCTACAAAGCACTTAATTACGTCTTGAATAAAAATTTGAATAAAGCAGTAATTTTTTCAGATAGTAAAAGCGCACTCCAACATATTGCTCGATGCGCCTCTGGCTACAGCAGAGGTACTTCGATAGCATATGATATTCTAAAAGTTATAACGATACTGAAAAATAATGATATTGAATGTAGATTGCAGTGGGTTCCAGCACATATTGGACTTAACGGAAACGAGGAGGCCGACCGTATATCCAGGTCGGCAGTAGTAGAGGGATGTATAATTAATTACGTACCTGATTATTGGGAATATACAAGTAAATACAAACTCACATGCTTTGATTTGTGGAAAAGTCATTTTTTCAAATTATCTATGGATAAAGGTATTTGGTACAAAAGCATCCAAGGTCGGCCTAATCGTGTTCCTTGGTTTGAGAATACTAATTTGGATAGAAACTATGTTAGATTAATATTAAGACTCCGTTCAGGACACTATCCATCGGCGAAGTATGCATTTCTTATGAAAAAGACCGATTCTCCTAACTGTACACTTTGTGGTCAAATTGAAGATGTCCAACATTTGCTGATGGAGTGTGCTCGGAATGGAGAAGAACGTGAGATATTCGTGAAGGATTTTAAAATAAATAAATTTGATGTAGGCATTATACAATCCATTTTATCTGTACCATCTTCAGCGATTATGAAAAAGTTGTGCTATTTAATTTTGGTCCTCCACGAATAACAATTAATCAAGTGAGTCAATGTTAAGTACGTAAAGTAATGTAAAGGGTACGATGGGGCTGACATATCTGTGATAAAAGCCCCTAAATAGTTTGTTAAAAAAAAAAAAAAAAAAAAAAATCGATACGGGTCGAGTAATTGACGAAGTGCGAATTAGAAGATGTTTATGGGACCCGGCCGATGATTTTTATAAGAATAAGGACGCAAAAAATAAAGCCTGGGAAGAAATTGGAAAGGAATTGTGTGGTGAACATTTAAAAAGTAAATAGCCAGTACTCTAACCGCATTGCCGTTCATTTTGTATCTGTTTGTACACGACTGTCTCACAGCAGCGAAACGCGCCGTACTAATGTCGTTTTATGGTGCACCGCTGTTCAAACGCGCGCTGTCCAACAGCGCGCTGTCCAACGGCGCGTCTAGCGGCGTGACTGTAAAACCAGCCTTACATGTTTATGAAAACGAATTTCATTTCAACTCGTAATGTGTTGAACTGCAGTGAATAGTCTTCAGAAACAATTTTATGTGTAGAGCTTTTAATACTTAATTGAATCAGTAGGATAACAAAAAACTTCTGTGTACCAATTTAAGTACATGTTGTCTTGGTCATTTGTCTACAAAATTCTGTTAATATAATAAAAAAAAAACATTTTATTTAACTGTTTATTAAATCATTTTGAAACAAATTTCACACATCTTACATATAAATAACTATCATACAATCTATTCTACGGGTTTGATAGTAATGAACCTTGACAAAATAAAGGCAACAATTACAGTTGATAAAACAAAGAACACAACAAAAATGTAAAATGTGTCTTCTGAGAAGACATCGGTGAATGCTGGTATCTGATTATATAACTCCTCCACTACATTGAGGTTTCCTTTACTTGACCTGGTCATTGTGCTAAAGTATTTACTTCTTCTTAATCTTCTTCTTATCGGTTTTCGTTTGGATTGTCGCAGCCGGCTGTTCTACAGGTGCTAATGATGAGATATGTTTGTTCAACAACTGTAGAATTTCTAAACAAGTGAGATTTCCACTTTTTATTGTTATATCTTTAACTTTGGCAGTTTCTGAAAATAAAAACTATTATGAGGAAATTGATACAGCTATATTAAAATCAGAAGCTATATACATTAAAATAAAAATGCAATGTAACTTTATAATTCTGTATCTGTCCAATTTCAATATGTTGTGAGTCATTGATTACTGTGATATCACATACATTACAACATGAACATTTTTCATATTTGTAACAGTGATATAAAGTGAGTAATAAATATTTACAAAAAAGTTATAGTATTTTTTTGTAAATAGAAATAATTTCAAATAAGATGTGCACAGATGCAGAAACTAATGTGTGAGATGATAATAATCATTCAAATGACAGATTAATTACCTGCAATAGAAGGAGCTAGAGATATATTGACACTAGGCTCACTCCGGTCACAAACAATTTCCGTCTTCAAAGTGCAGTTAGGATTGGTTAGAGCTATTTTCTGTGAACTTATGTAGTGCAGGAAATTTCTAAAAATGTATAGCATACATTAATAAGTAATATTAATTGCGCAGTCATAGTAAATGTACTGTGCAATAGTTGAATAATATAAACAAAGAGGTAGTCTACCTGTAAGTAGTAATCGAGAATTATTTACTTGCGAAATATAAGAATTTAGATGTCTGCTCATGCTAATTTTAGAATGACTGACTGTCTGTCAACAAAATTATGCTGACAATAATACAATGAGGTGTAAGATAAAAAGATTTACTATCAAACAAATGTGAACAGAGTGAGCTTAATAAAAAGTTGTATATTTTATAAAAAAAAATATACAGGATAATATCAGCCAGCAGCTGTATTAGATTAAGGTTTTACCTAAAATGTGAGATTACATGTATCTAGGTAGATTATTATTTATGATTCACAGTATTGATTTGTAAATATTGTAGGTTATAAAAGTGTTTTAAATATTTTTTAGTTTCTATAATAATTAGAATTCCGTAAATCTCAACAATTTTCGACTCAATCCATAGCTACCCTTTCTAGGGATTCGCAAACTGACCTATTTTTGTTATTTCATTTTTCTCACCTTGTATGAGTTACATTCTCACTAAATGGATCAAATTTAACAGTAATTCTCTTGGCAGCTTTTAAATTCACTCCCCTTAGCTGTTTCCCTATAGCAGAAACTACTCCTCCAGATCTTCTTAACGTACCGCTGTACGGGATCGACATATTATTTCCAAATTTATATATAGGTAGCTTTGTACGTATAGTGATCAATACTTTAATTAGGGCAGTGTCATACACACGAGTTTTTGCTCTTGCTACATTTGCTAGAGAGGGCACGAATGGTCAATGTGCACTTTGTTGTTGTAGAAATTAAGGATTCCTATTCACTCGCCGACAAGAACACGTGGCAGGCTGACTTCCATATTAGAATACTATACAGTGTATCTACATTTTGTACTTTAGTTTACCATTTCTGCATTTTGTTTGAGCATGGTCTATAATAGGTTTTTTAAGGGAGGAAAATCATCTAATGGCTGCCCACCTGGGTGAGGCGGGAGTGAGTGTCAGACTCTTACTGATACTGGCTAAAAACCACCTGTTCCGTCTCCTGCACGTCGAGCCGGAGCCCCGGTCGGTAACCCGTGAGGTTCTCCGCGATGTCTACCATAGTCTAGGGCTAAGCTTAAGGCGTGTACATAGATACTAAAAAAAAAAATTAAAATTATTATCTACCTGTTAGATTACGTTAAAATATTTGGTAGATTCATTATGTTCAAATTCAAATTATAGGTACAAGGTAAAATTCCACGCCCTTGTTTTTTTCCAATAAGCTAGATTCCTTTTAAACATTTCTACCCGTCAACAAAACAGTTGAATTTGTAGTTTAATCTCATTATAACAAGTTCAGAAAGTGATATAATTATAATTAACAGCTCAGTTTTTTGGCGATTTGACCTCAGCTTGATTTCGCAACTATGATTTTTGGATGAATGAATGGATGTTTGACCTGGTTATTTATCCTGTATTATTCAAGGATAATTTTCGAGTATTTACTCAGTTTTTATTCATTACATTTTGAGTATTTAACCGAAAAATCGCCTATCTCTAGTGACCATGTAGTACTATCGACTATATAAAATAAAACTATGATACCACTCTAGTTTTAGTCTCTGCTCTAATTCTACATAAATACCACACTATCACACGACGTCATAAAAAGCATTAGATTAGGGCGACGAATTAGAAAATACTTTGACACTTTCTATAATTTGTAATTATTATTCGATTTTTCACGTTGTTGCTATTACTTACACAATATTTGTGTTTGTTTTAAGTTTTAGGCTTTGTTGATATAAACCATTTATCAGGATGTACCCCGTTGGTCAAGGTAGGTGTTATAGGTGTACTCTATGGGAGCTCTACTTTGTTTGATTGTTCTAAATAATACCGCAAGACAGGAGCCACAAGAATCACGTTGTAATGCTGAATTTTTTGTGATTCTGGGTAAATTTTGAAAATAAATTGGGATATGTGTAAATTACACAGCTCCAGCGGGGGACACGAATGCTGGTGCAGTGAGTGTAGCGGGGGCAGTGACCGCGGCTGCGAGCACGACTGGTGCTGCGCCCGGAGTCCCCAGCACTGCCCCCGCCACCGGAGCCACCGCTCCTGGTGCTGCTGGGGGTGCTGGCGCCATGAGCCTCGTGTCACCTGCAGCACCGCTGGCGGATTTACCAACACTCACATGCCCGCGCCGCCCCAACCTCGGCCATGAAGGAAGACCCATAATGCTGCGAGCGAATCATTTCCAAATATCAATGCCAAGAGGATTTGTTCATCATTATGATGTAAACATACAACCAGATAAATGTCCCAGAAAGGTAAGTTCCACTTTGTTCACAATAATATTTTTATTGGAATGTACTTCATTCATCATGATCATGTGTACTTTTTACTTTTATGCATAATGTACTCATAGCCTTTTCCTGTCAGTAATAAAATTATTTGTGTACCAATGCTTCTTTGTTATAGAGTACCTACTAACATGTTTGTTTTTGTATTTATTATTTTAGGTGAATAGAGAAATTGTTGAAACCATGGTTCATTGTTACAATAAAATATTTGGAGCACTCAAACCTGTGTTTGATGGCAGAAATAATTTGTATACAAGAGATCCGTTACCTATTGGTAATGATAAGGTTGAATTGGAGGTTATATTACCTGGAGAGGGTAAGGACCGAGTGTTTCGTGTCAGCATCAAATGGGTTGCACAGGTCAGTAACCAAACCATCTAACTTAAATACTCTATACATAATTTTAGCATTTAATAATATTGGTTTTGAAACTTGATCACTTTTTTTTTTGTTTTCACACCTATAGTCTGATAAAAGTTCTTATGTATTATGTATTTAGGTCATGATTTACAATATTTAATATACATGACTGACTGTATCGTTTTACTGATCAATGGAGTGCTTTTGGTTATAAAACAATGTTTGCTGTTTTTGAGAACAATAATGACTTTAATAGTGTGTTAGTGTAACTTAACTTTTTAGAAGTGTTATCCAATATTTTTGTTTTCTTAAACAATATCATACATTTATATTAATTTGGCCTTTGTCAAGCACCGGATGTCTTCTGGCTGTCGATGATAATGATTCAAATTAATTAATTTTTTTACTAACATAAGATGTTATAGCCTCACACCTTATAATCTCACTCTGCTGTACTCTAAGCTTTAGTAATGAAAATAACTATCTTTTAGGTTTCATTGTTTGCTTTAGAAGAGGCTCTTGAAGGTAGAACCAGGCAGATACCATATGATGCCATCTTAGCTTTAGATGTGGTGATGAGGCATCTTCCTTCCATGATGTACACTCCTGTGGGACGTTCATTTTTCTCTTCACCTGAAGGTTACTACCACCCCCTCGGTGGTGGCAGAGAAGTCTGGTTTGGTTTTCACCAATCTGTAAGACCCAGCCAATGGAAAATGATGCTTAATATTGATGGTATGTTATAAACTTTAATTACCTTCTATATTACAAAATAAATCAGTAGAAATAGTCATTTATAATACATCAAAATACAATTAAAACTACTGCTAACTATGGCACAAGGCATGCGGTTATTTTATAATGATATCAATATTGTTTAATTACTTGCTACTTTTTTTTTAAATGATCTACCTTATATTATATTCTTGTTTTGATAGATTCAATCTGTCTAATCAAATATTCAAGAATCTATTGGATTCTGATTGTGATTGATTCATAATTATTTTTATTCACTTAGTAACATGCTACTTAATTCTGTTTTCAGTTTCTGCAACTGCCTTTTACAAAGCACAGCCAGTCATAGAGTTTATGTGTGAAGTCCTTGACATACGAGATATCAATGATCAAAGAAAGCCACTGACGGACTCACAGAGAGTTAAATTTACAAAAGAAATCAAAGGCCTCAAGATTGAAATCACTCACTGCGGCACCATGAAGAGAAAATATAGAGTATGTAATGTGACCCGTCGCCCCTCACAGATGCAATCGTAAGTCATTCTTTAATGTTACAACTTACAACTACACAAGGGAACACTTACTTGTGAATGTGGTACACTTGTCAAAAAGTAGGAAAAATTGTAGTCAATCCCTAGAATCATTGTATAATTTATTCTATAACCATAGTAAAATTGTTGATAATGATGTAATTTAAATAATATTTTGATAGTTTGTTTTATTATTCAGAGTGAATATATTCCTCATATCATGCTACCACTGGGTATACAGGAAAACAGTTTCCATTATTCATATGATTTAAATTTGACTATTTTCTCTACAGTTTTCCTCTCCAGTTAGAAAACGGACAAACAGTAGAATGTACTGTAGCAAAATATTTCTTGGATAAGTATAAGATGAAGTTGAGGTATCCTCATCTGCCATGTCTACAAGTAGGTCAAGAGCATAAACATACATACCTTCCACTGGAGGTCTGCAATATAGTCCCTGGACAGAGATGTATCAAAAAGCTAACTGATATGCAAACATCTACTATGATCAAAGCAACAGCACGCTCAGCTCCCGACAGGTAACTTTCATGTTGCGTACATATGACATGGTACATCAGCGTTTATTTTATCTTATTTTAAATGTGTTATTAAATTTCCAAAATAGGGAAAGAGAAATCAATAACCTGGTCCGACGTGCAAATTTCAACACTGACTTGTATGTGAAGGAATTTGGTTTGACGATCTCAAACAATATGATGGAGGTTCGCGGCCGAGTATTGCCACCACCCAAGCTACAATACGGCGGCCGTGTTTCCTCGCTAGGCGGGCAGGTAATATAATAATCCTTATTATATTTTATGAATGAATGGTATTGTTAATCCCACTAATATTATAATTGCGAAAGTATGTGAGGATGTATTTGTGTCTTTGTAACGCTTTCACGCTAAAACTACTGAAAGAATTGAGATGAAAAAAATTTGAAATAGGGGTAGACTATATGACCTGGAATAACATGTCGGCCATTTTTATTCCATGGAACGAAGGCGAGGCTGCTGGTAGACGCTAATTATACATAAAATTGTGTTCATTAATTCAGTAACATCCTGAATCTTGTGAACCTACAAAATATTGTGGAGCTCTGGAAAGGTTTAATAGATTTTTATTGATTTTGTTATAGCAAGCTTTACCAAATCAAGGAGTGTGGGACATGAGAGGCAAACAGTTCTTTATGGGTGTTGAGATACGGGTGTGGGCAATTGCTTGCTTTGCACCACAGAGAACTGTTAGAGAAGATGCTTTGAAGTAAGTTTTTTAAGTGTAAATAATTTTCTGAGATAGTGGTTTCCTAATTATCTAAATTACCCTCATTTATGTAAGTTCTTAAACGTTGACCGACAGTTGTTTGGCTAAATATAAAAAACAAAAGGGTGAATCCCGTACTGTTGGCCATCGTTTTTTTTTTAAGTAACATGTTGTATGTCGTCTGTAGCCGACCGTGGCACTTGAAAATTATAAGTAACTAAGTGACACTATTCTGCAAACTGCAGTCTGCTAAATAGCAGTGTTGTATGTTTGAAGGAACTTCACACAGCAGCTACAGAAGATATCGAATGACGCCGGAATGCCGATCATTGGGCAGCCATGCTTCTGCAAGTACGCGACGGGGCCTGACCAAGTGGAGCCCATGTTCAAGTACCTCAAGAGCACATTCGTACAGTTGCAGCTTGTCGTTGTTGTGTTGCCAGGGAAGACGCCTGTCTATGGTAAGTATTATACTAATTAACAATAGCACTCTCAAAATCTTTGTATGAAACAACTATTATTGTTAATTATTTTCTGTTCCAGTCCAACCATATTAATTTGATACAATATTAAATAAATTTATCTATGTTACATCATATACATGTTTTTGTCTACAGCTGAAGTGAAACGTGTGGGAGATACCGTATTAGGGATGGCGACACAGTGTGTTCAAGCAAAGAACGTGAACAAAACTTCGCCACAGACCTTAAGCAATTTGTGCCTGAAGATAAACGTCAAACTTGGCGGCATTAACTCTATCCTGGTGCCATCACTTCGTCCTAAGGTTAATATGGAGACACAGACACAATTTTCAATCTACAACAATTTAAGAACAGATATCCATATGTATGCTTTATTGACGCATATATGGCAATTTACTATTATAAAGTGCAGGTAGTTTTGCTAGCGTTTACATAACATATATTATACAATTATTATAGCAAGACATCAGCAATGTTTCAATTGCAATTGTTCAAAAGTAACTTATTTCCTGGCTTGCTATAAAACTGCTGAAGTAACATGATGTTGCTTTTGTTTGGGATGAACCTGTTGAATAAAACCTGTAGGGTGCACCTGTTTTGGACTCACTCCAATAAAGTGAATACTGAAAACCTGTTTCTTTTGTGAAGCTCGAGTATCATTAAATAAACATGTATATGTGTGTGTAAAGAGTATGTACGGTGGCAGGTGTTCAACGAGCCGGTGATATTCCTGGGCGTGGACGTGACGCACCCGCCGGCGGGCGACAACAAGAAGCCGTCCATCGCGGCCGTCGTCGGCTCCATGGACGCGCACCCCTCGCGGTACGCCGCCACCGTGCGCGTGCAGCAACACAGGTATGAGCCTCTCTGGGTTATGTCCGCATGACCTCCCACAATACACGTCAAAAAGTTGACAAAACCTTTGTTTTATATTAATTATTACTTCACCTAAATATGATAGCCATTTTTTTTCATTTAAGTATGACTGCATTCTAGTTATGTTGCGAAACATTTATTTGTTGTACCTTTGCGTGATGTTTAATTTTGCATGCACAAATAAAGGTCATTCCAAATCTTATAAAAAATACACTTACTACCACTTTATAGACCGTGCGCTTGCCTGAAGTGAAACCTTGATATAATCAGAGAAAATTGTTGATAATAGTCGCATAACGCAGGCACGTATCTTATAAAAATAAAACAAGCTGCAAGTGTTAATAAAATAACATCAAAATTGAAATAGATAGGTACGTCCATCACAGTGGCGAGTGTACAGTGTACCTACAAGTAAATCGTGATTTCAAATTGTTTCGCGATTTTACAGTTTGCGTTTATGTACTGCGTCTGATCCGATTCCAAGACAATATGGCCCGAGAAAATGTTTATAGTTCAGAGGTTGATTGTCCTCAGTAGAAATTCCATAAATTTGCTAACGCTATGGTTAAAATGAGGCACGCTCTAATGGCCACTTCGGTCCATTTTATCTCGGATTCGGATCAGGCATAGTACGGAGACGCACTTACGCTGTTTTTTTTTTATTTTCCCTTTCGCTTCGCTCATCACACCTCCACTGCTCTCGCCAATGACAAGCGAGGGCAAGTGTGCAAGTTGCACCGACTCACCGTTAGGGTTCTATAAGTAAGTAGACGGGGCCGTATTATGGAGTGTGCACACTGAACATTTTTTATCGGCCGATATTTGTAATCAAACACAACTCGTATGTTGCTAGAAAATCTCAAAATATTTGAGATTCATTTACAGAATAGGCGGAAATATTATCGTGACATCGTAAACAGACATAAACGAACATAATGGGAGTGCGCACATTAATCAATCTATATTGATCGGTCGATAAAATATTCTGATTGGGGACACGATTCCCTTTTGGTTATAATGTTGTCCTCATTCTGCCATCATACCTAATTAAAATTAAGTGCGGTGTGAAGGAAAAGTGCCATGGATTCAAAATTAAAACTTTTGTCCAACCATCATAAACAGTGTGTGCACTCGTTTATAAATTAAAATAATAATTATTATTACCTATATATTTAATTACTTGACTGGACTTGATAGTAAGTCTACAGATAAACTATTAATTGTGCGCATTCCCTGTGCCTCCAACGAATCAGCCGCAATGAATACCTAAAAATGTTACTGCATCCGAAATACTATATATTAATCTAAATTTCAGATTGAACAACTATTTGTATTATTTTTTTCTTTTACTTTTTTTATTTCATTCTATTAATTTTATTATTTGGTATAAAAATGTTACCTTTAATTTTTCTATGCTTTTTAAATATAAAAAATGTTGTTGCATTTGCCCTTAAGCAGTTAAAGACTGAAGTAATTAAAGTAAGTTTAGATAACGTGTAACCTGATCATGACGTATGCAACTTTCCAGGCAAGAGATAGTGCACGAAATGAGCAGCATGGTACAGGAGCTACTCATCATGTTCTACAAGAGCACCGGCGGGTTCAAGCCGCATCGGATCATTATGTACCGGGACGGCATCTCCGAGGGACAGTTCCTACACGTCTTGCAACACGAACTCACTGCTGTCCGAGAAGCTTGTATCAAGGTAACATTTTTATAAATTATTTTAATCAAGTTTACCTGTAATATTTGTTTTATTTTCTGATTTATGGTGTCCTACCCTCCGATTCAATGTTTTTATGATTGCGACAGTTGGAGGCGGAGTACAAGCCGGGAATCACGTTTATTGTGGTGCAAAAGCGGCACCATACGCGACTATTCTGTGCTGACAAAAAGGAGCAGTCGGGCAAATCTGGAAATATTCCCGCAGGCACTACCGTCGACCTCGGCATCACACATCCGACTGAGTTCGATTTCTATCTATGCAGTCATCAAGGAATTCAAGTAAGATTTTATTTATTTACAATGCTTCATGTAGATCTTAGAACTCGTTCATAAGGTGGACTATTAAATAGCAGACTAGCAGATCAAACTGATCACTTAGTCTGAGCTAGTTTTGTTAGTACCGTAGTTTGTGCTAAGGTTGAGCGTTGTGGCAGGGCACGTCGCGTCCGTCGCACTACCACGTGCTGTGGGACGACAACCACTTCGGGTCGGACGAGCTGCAGTGCCTGACGTACCAGCTGTGCCACACGTACGTGCGCTGCACGCGCTCGGTGTCCATCCCCGCGCCCGCGTACTACGCGCACCTCGTGGCCTTCCGCGCGCGCTACCACCTGGTGGAGAAGGAGCACGACTCGGGCGAGGGCAGCCACCAGTCGGCCTGCAGCGAGGACCGCACGCCCATCGCCATGGCGCGCGCCATCACCGTGCACGCCGTCACCAAGAAGGTCATGTACTTCGCCTAACCGCACGCCGCACTTACCAGGTAATGTTAGTCGAGCGTGCGAAATTTCTGGGGCTTCTCTATACTTTAAAATATTATCTCCGCAGGAAGATCTCGTATGTAAACGCGTTCGATTGTCGTTGTCATTCCCTTCTCCGGTTCGTGCAGCAATTTCCCGAAGCTGGGAGTGACCCTGTGAGGTCTTCATGTTTTGAGATAGAACTCCGCCTATTTTCTGGTTTGTTCTTGTATATAACGCCAACCGTTTCTACCAGGTTCTGAATGGCCCCACTCGCGTTTCATATAGTCTAATTTTATAAATGTTGTTTAGCTTTTACGAAGATAGCTGTCCCAATATAAAAGACGTTTCAATTCTATGAAGTTTTGATAGTGATGGAACAATCGAAATAAATCGTTGACAATTATTTGATGTATAAGTATAATAATAATCGGAGGAGAGCAATAAATATTACCTCATGCGTGTAATGCGTAGTGTTTCCTATTTGGCCATCCGTTGACTGGGCTATTTACTATCTTCTAAGAAGCATTTGTAGAATTCAACTTAAGCTTTCTAAATAAAACAAAGAAGTGCGATTAATTTAATAAGTGGATATTTTATCCTTATATGAAACTAAAAAAGAAGTTAGTGACAGTTATAGACAGACATTCAAATAAATATATTTTATGAAATTTATAAATAGGTCTACAGTAAAATACATTCACAAAAAAAGGTTTTTCTCGTAAACATAGCTGGTTAATTTCAAACGTAGCTTAATAAAGAAGTGAACATCATACAAAGCTACACTGAAGTGTAACGAAACAGGAACACTTGATGGAGGATTATTTGCTTTGCGAAGATTTTGATAGTGAATTTAAATAAGTAGATTCCTATTTTGTAATGATCTAAATTATTGTGGTATCACACAAATAAGTATCCACTGTTTTTCATTAATCTGTAGTCTTTACATGATGATGCAACATAAATCAGTGAGTAGTATTAAGCAGTAACGCCAAATAGTCCTCATTAGGTGTGCTAAGGATATAATAATATGTATTTATTATTAAATGATTTAAATTATCATTCATTTGAATATATTATGAGTTCAGTATATAAGTACCTATTTTATTTTCAATGCTTCGTTTATAATTTTTGCACATTAATTCAATGAACTTCACACAAACACATACACTATGTATATAAAACAAATTATTATAAACAGACAACCAATCTTACTATCAGTGTAAAGAATGATATTTTTATTTTATATTTTTAAGTTTATTTTTTAAAGTAAGAGTTCTTTTATATTGTATTTTAGCTTTAAGTTTAATCAACTAAAAGTTGGGAAGAATGTTTGTCCTGACTTTAAGGGTTGGTGACAATGTTTTTTTTTTTGTAATTAGTGTGAAAGTTAATAAACATCTTTTTTATCATAAATTATGCTTTTGGTGTTTCAATTGGTCGTATGTCAGTGTTATTTTGTCTCATAGACGCATAATTACATGCAATTTGTGTAGTTCGTAATTCTCACGGATAATCGGACTCTTATTTACTTTACTTATTTGTACGAAATAGTCATATAGACACACAATAACGCATGAAATGCCATATTCTATATACAGCTAATTTAATGATTTGATTTGAATTCATGTTCATTAATTCAATTGTAACAAATAAAGTACACTCAGATTACTTTTTCGTGGAAAGAAGTGGTGTCAAAGTAAATAATCGCCCGGTTATCTTTTAAGTGGACAAGCTGCTAAAAATATCGGATATAAATGTATTTTATATTAAATGACGTTGTGATGCTAGGTGTGATACATTAATACGAATATGTTCAGGATCGTTGTTATACATTAACAATATAAAATCGAAAATAATGCATAGTGATCATGCAAGTGATGCAAGTATGAAACTTGGGTAATAGGTTTTTAATATGACTTCTGTTCTTATAATGACGGTGTTTCTTTTAAATTCTATCATATATTCTGTCGCCATCATATCATGTACGATAAGCTCTTTATAGTGAGAATCAGCCCTCTTGTAGTTGATAAACATTATTTGTCGCAATTGTAATGATTATTATGATATAATTTTCAAAGTTAAACACCCAGTCGCTTAAAGTTTTATAAGAATAAACTTTATTGTTTATTGAACTATCTTTTCTTTTTACTAACTCTACCCCTTTTTAAGTGGCGTTAAGAATGCTCTCATTTCAAGTTTCAAGACACACATAAGCTGAAAATAAAATGACGAATATTCGATACCAGCTACACAATCAAACAGATAAAAATGGGGTAGTGTTGACAATAAACGAGTTTAGTTTTTAATTTTGTTTTTATATAGTAAGCTTACATAGACTTAACTATAGTCTAAATAACAATAGAAAAGTCATCCTTTAAAGAAGTGCTATTGTAGTGAGTGTTATATTATAACATTATTGAGCATTTCAAGTAAATGTCACATCGGTTGTAGTTTATCAGGTATTATGTAACCAGCACACACAGTTGACGCCTTTATTTCAAATAGATAGCTTTCTCATTTGTGCTGTATATTTTACGTGAAGTTCTTGTGGAAAATGTGTTATTAAAATAGGTTTGCAGCTCGGATATATTTTTTTTAAGATCCATCCAAATTACGTCTTTGATTTAAAAAAATATTGATGCTTACATGCGCAAATGACTAGCGCAGCTTTTGGGTAACATTTCATCTTAAATTGTATACAACGTGCTTTAAACTTTAGTTAAGTTGTCGTATGTAAGTAGTTTTTGGTAGCAAAATGTCTATACGCGCGATTCCCAAACTAATAAACACCGCGTACATTGTGCGAACAATTGTTATGATTCATATTTTGTATGAAGGAGCTCCATCTGCGCAATCTTTGTACATTATGTTTGATGATTATAAATTTGGGCGGCTACGATTTTGCGTCATTATTCTTAATTATTGTAGGTACCCTTTACGTTTCTTTGGCACTTTTCCATCTTTTAAGTTAAAGTTTTACCTACTTAATTCTTGTATCTCTTAATGTTGTGAATATTTGGAGATGTATTCAAACTTACAAATAATACTTACCAGATTTTCTAATAATTGAGTTGAGTTGTAGTAATTTTTCCTATTTAATATTTTTTCTATTTTCGTATTTCGTTGTGTTGGTATTTATACGGAGTTGATTGGTTGATAGAATTTCGGCTAACTATGATGTTTTTCATGCAATTAGCTTCAATCCAGATTTATGTCAGCTTTAGTCGTCCAACCAGGGGCTGTGCACAAATCAATTAAATTAAATGTATTTTTTTTTTCATTTCGTTTCTTTCGAAGTACTTACATTTTTTCAGTACTGTAACAATGTGTTCACTATCGCTTTTCTACTAATTACTTAAACTAGTCGATTAATATTTTATTTAAGTGGACATAAAAGTCGTAGGAATGCCAAAGGCCTTTTTGTGACTTTGTAGAAGGATTGTAATACATAACTTCCAAAGTTAAATTCATTCTCTCCAAAGACTAGCCCATCAAATCTGTGTGACGGCATGGGGCCAGAGCTTAGGATAAACAATAGTATTATGTGTACTCCGTGTATTATGTGTTCTTGTTCAAATCATCATTTCCAAGCAATATTTATTTGCGGAAATTCTTTTCAATTAATTTTTAATGTGTTAACCAACACTTTGCTAGTATTGATTTGTATAAAATTTTCCTTTCATTTAGGATTTACTATGTACATATACAAAAAATATTAAAGAGAAAAAACAAAAATGTAAACCCTTCGTATAAAAAAGTGCATTACTTTTAATTAATACTATACATATGTATGTTATCTATGTATCACTTTTATTTATTTAAGACAGATTTGTAATATGTTTCAGAAGATGGGGCTATGTTTTAAAAGCCAAAAATATTACAATAATTTTGTGAGATATAATCTATGAGATCTCTAAAGCATATTTCATTTGATTTAATAACAATAATATTTCTCAGAGAGGGACAGGAACATACTATACCAAAGCAGATCGTTTCATATATTATGTAGCAATAGGTCCACAAACAATCTTATAGTATATTGAATTGACCCTCGGACGAGTTAGCTACTGCCATACATCCGCCCGGCTAGCTTCTAATCTGTTATATCTCTCGTATTTTTTTATTGATATAACTAACACTACTATGTATACAATCAATATAAATATATATGAAATGAATTGTTTTGTTATATAGCGCCGTTTGTAGTCACAAGAAACTAATACGCTTAACGAGTGGAAAGTAAATTTAGTAGGGCGACAACTATTTTATAATACACGTTATACTTATACAATCATACAAACATTATATGAAATGCGGTTTTCTATGGCAATATTTAATACCATAATTATTATCAAACTTTGAACCAAATAACGTTGGTAAGATTATAGAGACCAATGTCAGAAAAGACATACTATGTAACATTACCTAATAACACCAATCATAAAAAATATTAATGTAAGTAAATATGTGTGTATTTGTAGAGTTGTTTTTAAATGGGGATAGTGACGATATGAAAAAACAAAAACTTTATTTCGGAACAAAAAGAACACGTCCAAAACCAGCATGGTTTACTGTTATAAAGTACTGGCTCGGCAGTCGGCACCTAACAGTGTAGTATATAATGTCATGTAATTCGACTGAATGTATCGCCCACAATTTATTGACAACGTGAAAACAGAAATAATACGTGTTCCGGACAAATATAGGCGTTAGTCATTATCCCTATTATTAATGTGGAATCAAGTATCATATTATGATGTAAAGTGAATGTAATTTGTTCTATCAAAATGTGTCTCTAGATTATAAAATCAAGGCCGGCTTTATTAATAAATTAGTTATTTAAATGCTTTATTTAATAAATGTTATTCGATATACACACGTATATATTTTGTATAATAAAATTATTAAGTATTTTATGATTAGTTATTAGTTTACACAAATAACAATATGCTGGAAGTCGGAAAACCATGTTAAGTGATAAAATATTAGATCAAATAAACGTTTTCATTTAATTTAATTTTCTAAATTTAAATCCAAAGAAATACAGCTACTTTGACCCATAGAGCTCATTTGTTAATAAACATTTATTGGTTGCTGGAATATTTATACATTTTACACTAAGGCTTAAGTTTTGTTTGTTCTATGGCCTCTAGAAGTCTATGATATCTAAAAGAACTTATATGTTGCCTTTAAGCACTGGTTTGCATCAGTGTGTGATCAAATAACTATTTATAATATTAAAAGAGAAAACTAGAGTCCATAACGTAACACTAAGACAGTTCACTTATGTCATAAGAAGCTTTATTTTATAGTTGTCATATTTGTTCTATTCTTGTTACTTTATGCCTGAATATGTGGCATGTGTGTCTAGAACTTTACAATGCACATTACTAATTAACTAAAATACGATGCGATTAAATTAAATATAAGATTTATTTTGTAATAAGCTATACTAAACTTATAAACAAGGGATAATGATTCTGTAATTTGTAAGGTATGTTAATGGTCCTATTATTAGTTATGTTATATTAGATTCGAACTGTTTAAAAAAATAAATGAAAAATATAAGTTAGTATTGATTTACTAAGTTGTCTTTACTACAACTTGTTTTTGTTCATAGCATTTTAATTCTTCTTAGTTTTTGGTTGACTTAGGATAACGTTTTTGCGTTATAAAGTTAAACAGAATATAAAACGGTACGAATTTAATACTTACATAACTAGAATAGAACCAAATATGTATGTTGCCATAATATGCAACCAATCATTAAGCAATAACAAGTAACTAAGTACTCAAACATTGTAACTGATGCCAGGTATTAACTGTACTCCAAATTATCTATTATTGTTGATCGTTTCACAGGTATAGTAGTTTAGTCTTAGCGAGTAAGCTCTATTGCTTTAAAAAAAGGAGAAAATAATTAGTAATTGCTTAGTGTAATCGATTAAGGTAGTTAATAATTTACAGGATCAACATACAACTAGTTTTTATAATACATAGAAGCAGTAGTACAGGTGTCGGTATCCTTCATATCAACAACTGAATTTACTTTGTAAGTCCGTGTGCCTGGCGTCAGAATTTTCGTCTGCGTCTTTATAGATCCAATTTTGAGCACAAATTAAAAACAGTCAAATTTTATAAGAATATGTTTATTACCTATTTATAAGCATTAGATTAAAGCGCGGTAAAATCTATCGGTATGCTACCACGCAGATCGTAAAATTCGCCCAACATCAGTTTAAGTAATTATATTACTTAGAGTAGATAATTATAATATCGCTAATAACCTAGCTGTATGTGAGCAATGTAGCCAGTTTACTGTATTATGTCCGATGTCATCCCCGCACTTTTAATATTATTATATTCACTATATTTTGTATATTATTAAAATTCAATTATATGTTTGTTTTTATTATTATTGTAGTCGAAGTATGAACAAAGTGATTTAATGCAATAACTGCTTTGTTTGTCCTTCATTATTTTAAAATATAAGTTGCTTCGCTATATACTTTAGTGTAGCTACACAAGTAAATGTAAGCTTGGTAATGTTTAAATAACAATTTTGTACAAGCTGATGTTCTATCGAATTCTAATAATATTTAACTATTACCATCACTAGGCTTACCATCTCGAATTAGTTGGTACCCTAATATGCTTGTCAGGTTTACAGTTACGTGGGTAGCTACAATTCTTAGGTTATATCCCATTGCTTGTGTTTGTTTGGAAAACATTAGTTGTTAATTATTTTATAAACAGACTATGCTTCGTACTCACATAATATGACTCCAATGACACATTTTTATCATGATGTCTTCAAGTAGGGTTTCCATTTTTTCATAGATGATAAATAGATTCAAATTTCTTCGTGCAGGGTAAACACGAGTTATGGTACGTCGGAATGTATGTAATATTTGTGAAGTAGCGCTCAATTTGCGTTATATTTACTATTGTGTAATTAATTAAATGTTCTCTACCCTTGAAATGCTTTTTATTTCGGTTTTAATATTTGTCCGTCTCATTAGCAAATCCAACTTCATTCGTGAAAGAATTTTGAGATAATTAACAAAAAAAATCTAGATTTTTAAACAGACTATCTATCCACTACTCTCCTCGAAAATTCTTTAAAAAAATA